TTATCATCCAATGGCTTTGGACCAGGAAATGGGAATGTGCAACCGTTCCCCCTCATTTTACAAATCCTAAGCACTGAACTTCTGACTGCAAGTACTATGTTGAGACCCTTACACAAGTGTCTCTGCTTCTCATGAAGCCACGGTGAACACACTCATTAATTCTGTTGCTCGTACACAGGGTGATCTGTAAACACTTCAGAGGTTCTTCAGAAAGCAGGATACTCAAAAAATATTCAAATCTGTGTATGATATACAGACCTCTCTGCTAAGACAGCTTGCATTGCTGGAAGTATGCACAAGCAGACTTCCAGGCACCGAGGGAATCTAACTGGAGCTACATTACCTAGAAGTGCTTATGGATTTGGGGCTTAATGGAAATTTGGCAAATGTTAGGATGACACAATTAGACTGACACTTAAATTCCTTCCCAGCCCCACTTCACATCAGCCTTGCTTGAATTGAGCTCTTACGCTTAAAGAGAAGAACAGAATCAACATAAAATTAGGTTATGATTAAAAACCAGTGGCTGTATGGAGGAAGAGGCAACTCTTATTGTAAACTTAGCAGGAGAACTAGGCATGAAAGAGAATCCTTTACTCAATACAGGAAGATGCTACTGAGCCCTGTGGAGTACAGTTCATGAACTCTAGTCCACAAGAAAGAGGAGTATTTTTAGAGTAACCCATCAGTCCCAAATGTCATAGAGAAACAGATAAAGGCAGAAAAGAACAAATCAGAAACATCCTTAGAACAAGGTGAAATTTTGCTGTTCCCACTTCAAACTCTGTATTTGAAATCAGTAAAAGGAAACTGAAATAGCAGTGATGAAACTTTTGAAGCGAGTATGTGAAGCAGCATCAAAGACTCTACCCTGGGAATGTTCCATGCACAACTCAATGATATGAAAAAAAAAAAATCAGTAAATAGATGCAAAAATTCCAAGTAAATAAAGGTTTTTAATCTGCTATCCTGTTTCTGACAGTGTCCAGTAACAGAGACTTAAAACAGATGATAAAAATAGGCCAAGCTGGTAATGCTTAGGCATCCTTAGCATGTCAAATTTCAGTAGAAATTTCAGTTCAGGGATTTCCTGAGCCAGAGATGGTATCTTCGTGTTTAATAACCCTCAACGGATTTGTCTTCCATAAACTTGTTTTTTTTTGACACATGAAGACTTTTAGCATACAGTAACATCTTCTTGTAAGAAGCTTCACCACTTCATCTACTTCATGTGAACTATCTTATTATGTTTATGTTGAACTTGTCACCTGCTGACAGTTAGTAACTCAGTTCTTATATAAAAGGTAATAACAATCATGTCCCATAAAACATTATTTAGCTAGAACATGGTGTTACAAATGCTCTGAAGATCCCTTTTTCATGACGCAAGAAATCTAGAGAAAAAAAATTACTGCAAGACAAGTAACAACAGAACTATTTTTTAATGTATTTTTTTTCTCCTGCCTTATACTAGTTGATTGCTTGGCAATCAATCCTAAGTGTTTACTGCGTAATAAGCTCAGAGTTGTCATGCTGGGATTTGCACATATATTTGGTTATGTCTTGATTCTGTACCAGTGGTTTATCATGCTCTAAGCAATAACCAAAAAGGATAGGACATCCAGAGCACGATCAGCCTCAAAACTCCCGGCAGAGAGATAATGATCAAGTCTTCTCAACAACAAGGAGAGCTTGCAGGAAAGGAGAAAAAGTATGCCATGGATGCCACCAATTAATTTTTCCTGTACAAGCAAAAAGCTAATCAGATTTCCTTGCTTGAATGGAATTTATATTTACAGTGACTTGTAAGACAGAAAACCCAGGCCTTGAGGAAGTCCCAGAATTTTTGGAAGTTATCAGGTCAGTTCTGTGGCATCTTTACATTCTGTTTCCAAATTCTGAGAAACTACAAAAATAATATTAGTCCAGAGACTCTACACTATGCGTTACTCTAAAACCACAGTCAAGTGTTATCTAGTTACTACAACCGAGTTGCTTTCTGTTTACAATTTCATACTGCAGTTTAGCTTTTTGGTTCTCACTGTATAACAAACACTAAAAGCTGATAATACAAACATAATGTAAAAGTAACATACATATTTTCTCTCTAGTAGACTATTTTAGACTCCAGTTTCTCATGGCTTTGAAGCTCTCCAGTGTGAATCACAGCTTTTTCTTTTTTTTTTCCTTCCTTCCCAGAAATATTAAGCATCTTCCATCATGTGATGAATGATGAAATAACACAAAATTCCACAGGGAAAAACATTCACGAGCCTTCCTCAACAATGAAAAGTTATTATACAAATGATGGACTTCTGCAACACTTCAAAATGTCAAAAATCCTTTTAGATACTTTTAAGAACTAAAACCAATTACAACTATGCAATCCATTTCTCAAACACCTTTAGTCTAAATGTTCCTCTTTGCACAATATCTCTTCTATTTGAAGGTGGCAAAGCATGAATTAATTCAGCACAATGAATCATCCATTGCAGCATCACAAAAGTAGCATACAGGATCACACTGTACAGGGATAAACACTTTTTTTACAGGAGGTTTTTACAGGAGGAAAATCATCACTAACTAGATTTATCAAAGTCTTATTTTGGAAAACAATTAGAACCCAGTTTAACCTTGTACTTGAAAATTTTACTTCCGTTTTCCAATCTCATTCTACTGGTACCTGGTCTGATACTTGTAAACACGTAGGTAATTCTGTATGGTAAAATAAAATATTTTTGCATAAAGTGTAGGTAATCAGCAAGCACACAGATGCTCCTGAAATGACAGCTTCAGAATATCAAGTGAAATTCAGATTCATTAAGAGTTTCGGACAGCAGCTAACACTCAAGCAGCAACGCACAAGCATCCATTCTCCTAAAGCCTCAACCACAGATAACAAATACTAAAAAAAAAAGTAACTCTGCTTTGCTGAAATGCTCCTTGATGTGCCCCAGCCACGGTCAGATATACTCTGAAAGCTGGCTGCTTAAACCACCTTGATCTCTGCTGCATTCCAAGCCCTCAAAGCACAGTATGAACTCCACCCATTCAGCACTAGTACAGCCACACCTGCAGTACTGGGTCCCCTACTAGAGTCAGTCAAGCAAAGGGTCACAAAGGTGACAAAGGGTCTGGAGCATCTCTCCTGTGAGGAATGGCTGAGAGAGCTGGGACTGTTCAGCCTGGAGGAGAGGAGGCTCAGAGGGATCTCATCAATGTAACATAAATACCTGAGGGGAAGGTGCAAGTAGGGGAGAGCAGTCATTCCTTCCCTACTACTTCCATCCCTAGTAGTGGCTGGCATTGGATGCTTAGGAAGAGAATATGCCATGCTATTTCATACAGCAGTCCTTCCTTACCTCTGCCCAACCCTCCAGAAACCTTTCATCTTCCTGTAAATTGTGGTTTAGGGATTCCCAGTTCCCATCATTGTGTTTAATAGCCCTAGATGGAAGTATCCGTCATGAATTTGTCTAAATGCTTTTGAACCCATCCAGACTTTAAGCCTCCACAACGCTCTGCAGCAATGAATCCTGAAATTTAATTATGCACATCATGAAGAACTACTTCCCTTCATTTGTCTTGAAGCTACTGCTTGATCATTTCACTGGCTATCTCCTTGCTCTTGTACTCTTGAGAAACAGCAAATAATTATTTGCTCTTCACATTCTCCATGACATTCATGATTTTACAAACTTCACTCAATTTCTCCTGTCATGCCTCTTCTAAACTGCAGAATTCTTTCACACAGAAATTGTCTCTTCATATAGAAGAGACATAGTCTCTTCACACAGAAATTGTTCCTTCCGCGTGATGCAAAATCACTATGGACTTATACAGAAGCATAAAGTTTTCTTGTTTATGCTCTCTCCTCCTCTCCTGATCATTCCTAACGTTATCAAAACCCTCCTACAACTCCTTGTTTTCAAGCTGAAGAACTTAATTTACACTTACTGCATGCAAAACCCATTCCATTCTTTACTTAATGCTACTACATTGTTTCTGCAGCTGGGAGACGAGAACTGCACCCACATAGATACCACGCACAGTAATAAAATGGCTTCTTTTTTTTTTATTCAAAGGCTGAGGTTACCTGCAACTATTCTATTTTTATCCCAGTTCTTCAGATCTAAGCTATTTCTTCATGAAAGTGGGAAAATGTTGAAATAATATGAGAAACAGCTCAGGTGGAAAGAGAGAATATATTTGAGTCTCACTCCAATCAACAGACAGCTTTTTAAACAAATCTCAGACTAGAGATGTTCCTATAACAAGTATCAGTCTAAAGGATCATAGAAGTTAAGAAAAAGTCAATGCCACCACTGTGAACTGGGGAAAGGGGTGTCATGTTCTTTAATCACTTCCAGCTCAAGTTGCTGGACAGAGAGATCTGCTTTATCTTTACATTCAGGTAGTATTGACTACTCTAACAGAACTTACGCATCTGCAGTACCCTTTCGTCAGTGCCTTCTCTCTGATATGAAGCTCTATCAGTTAAAAGTGCAATACCCACTAACGCAGATAGCACCAAAACCCAGATGGCTAAATATATTGCTAAATGAATTCAAGTTCCAATAGATGCATTGCCTTCATACGGGCATTGGTTTTGCAAGCGGTATGTACCTAGCCTAAAAGCGAGAAAATCAAACTTTTAAATAATTACAGAAATGCCACAGAATTTGTCTCCTCTTGAGCAGGGACAGCCAACGAGCAGCCCCAGGGCCCCGGCACCCTGGTGCTGGATGCACCCGTGGCCTTGCCCGTGGCTGGCGGGCACTTAGAGGGGAGCCAGGGGGCTCGGCCACCTCCAGCTCACCCCCTGCCGCTCCTCTCTGCAGACGTGGCAGCACCCCGCGCCCGCAGCTGTGCCTGGCCCTGGGCCTGCTCCAGGTGCTCAGCACCAGCAGGAAGGGCCCAGTTGGTGATGCTGCTGAGGAGGAGGAGGAGGGAAGGCCTCCAGCTCCCTTGTCTTCCTCTGGCCCTGTGGCTCCTGTGTCGTCACCTTCTGGTGAGTCTCGGTGCAAAGTTCCACCAGAGGGGTGGGCAGCTCCTCCGTTCTGTCCCACTGGGCATCGTCTGCTGGGGCACAGCAGGTGCTCAGGCTGTTTCTCCTCTCTTTTGGCAGCTCCCGGGCAGTGAAGGAGATCTGGGTCAGCGCCCTCCTTGGGTAAGCCCTCTCGGGCACTGCAGCATGGACAGCCTGGGCAGCCAGAGCACCCACCGTGGGGGGGATGCTCCATGTCTGGCATGGATGCTGAAACACCTTGTTTGAGCTGGGCAGAGGTTTGCTCACAGCTGCAGGCAGAGGCGCCACCAGAGCTGCAGGCGGAGGTGCCACCAGAGCTGCAGGCAGAGGTGCCATCACTGCCGAGCAGGCACAGCTGGCAGAGCTGCTTCATCCAGCTGTGTCCAGACAACACCTGCCCAGCCCCATCCTCACCACTGCTGCTCCTGCTCCACTGCCAGGCAGGCCTGGCTGCTCCTGGCACTGTGGAAGCGCCCCCAAGGCTGGCAGCAGAGGGAAGAGCTGGCCTGGGTCTCACACAGCTCTTTCTCTCCCCCTTCCCCATGCACAGACCACCAGAAGGAGTTCAGGGAGCCCGGGTGACCCAGCTGCCGTCCATAAGGCTGGTCTTGAAGGAGCTGAGTGGCCGCCATGCTGTGAGTGTCCCTCCTGCCTCTGCGCTGTCCCCAGGGGCTCCTCCAGCCCAGCATCAGCTGCATCATCGCTCCTCACCTTCTGCTCTTTTCCCCTTGCCCAGGGGAAGACACTGGATGCCGGCAGCCTGGAGAAGCTGCTCCAGCACCAGGCCCAGGTCAGCGTCGCTTGAGGAGCAATCTCACCCATCCCCACCTCTCACACACGGCCAGCAGCTGATGCAGCTTGCCGGGGCCCTTTCTGCTGTGGGGCTCCTTGGTGAGCGCAGCCCATTTCTTGCAGGCTGGTGCCAGGCAGCTGCCGGTCCCTCGCCCTTCCGGCAGTGAAGGCAGACATGGCCATGTGGATGGTGAGTGTGGAGAAGACAGGGGCAGGATGGCCCTTCTCTCCTGCTCTTGCAGGCGGGCACGCGTGCTGCGATGGGGCTGCCGCTGCCCTTCCTGCAGGGCACGTCCATCCCCGTCACTCTGCGGCAGGAGGGAGCTGAGCCCTGGGGCCCCTCGCTCCCAAATGATGCTGCCTCTCTCGTGCCCTCGGTGCGGGGGGACAGCACTGGGGGAGTCTGGGAGCGCTCTCCTGGTGCTTCTCCTCCACGGCTCTTTGCTCTCTTTCCCTTGGCAGCAGGCGGGACGAGCAGGAGCAGGAGGAGGCTGCCCTGGCCATTTGCACGGCTAGGCACCCGGGCTGCGGCAGAGGCACCGGGGCCATCGGGCTCTGCTGTCGCAGGAGCTCTCTTTGGCCGGCCCCTGGCAGATCTGTGCAGCCAGGACAGCATGCTGCCTCAGCCCATCCAGGTAAGCCAGCCTGGGAAGGGGTTCCCCATCCCGTCCCATCCCATCCCATCCCATCCCATCCGTCAGGCTCCTCCCTAGAGAGGCTGTCCCCAGCACCTACCTCAGGACCTGTCCCCAGCCCAGCAACTCTCCTCCTCTGTGCCCTCAGGACCTTCTGGCTCTGCTCAAGGAGCATGGCCCATCCACGGAGGGGATCTTCCGGCTGGCAGTCAGCCAGCGCGCCTGCCGTGAGGTCAGGGACGCCCTGGACAGCGGGGTGCCGGTGCAGCTGGCAAACCAGCCCGTGCTGCTGCTGGCTGTCCTCTTGAAGGTGAGCCCTGCTGACCCAGAGCCCTGCAGCTCCTGGCTCTCTTGGTGCTGATGGGCACCTGCGGGAGCACAAGCAGAAACTCAGCCACCTGCTCATGAGCCGGAGGACTGGGGATGCTGCGGATGCTCCTGGGGGCAGTGGCCAAAGCCTCACGTGGAGCCCTTGGCACTGCAGGACCTCCTCCGGAATATCCCCTCCAAGCCCCTCGACACCCAGCTGTTCGAGGAATGGATGCACGCCATGGAGAAGACCTGCAGGCAGGAGAGGCTGGCAGCCCTGAAAGAGTAAGTGTGGCAGCAGCCAGCAGGGACTGGCACAGGCTGGGACTCCAATGTAAAGCAGTGGCCTGCCTGAAATAGCCATGGCTCCCGCAAGCCACCTCCTGCTGCTGTGGGGTTTATGTCTGGGGGCAAAGAGGCACTGAAAAGCTTTTCTCTCCAGGGAGCTCCCTGGTGTTGGGGCTTGCTCCAGCAGGGGCCCTTTTCAGAAGGGCAGGGAGGGAGGGAGGGTGGTGGCCGTATCTCAGCAAAGGCAGTCCCTCTGCTGTAGAGCAGGCAGTGGCCTTGGGTGAGATCAGCCTGGGAGACCTCTGCTGTCGACACCGACTTCATTAATGCTCTGCTCGTGTTCCCTCAGGGTGGCCAGCAAGTTACCAGGGGCCAACCTGCTCCTGCTCCGGCACTTGCTGTCGCTGCTTAGCAGCATCAGCAAGAACGTGGCCACAACCAAGATGACGGCTGGAAACCTGGCCATCTGCCTGGCACCAAACCTCCTGAGCCCACCCCAGGAGGTGCCCCTGGATGTCCTGGCTCTGGAGACAGGGAAGGTACGCTGTGTTCACCACCTGGCTACAGCGTCCCCAGCCCAGCCAGGCTTTGCTGCTCAGAGGGTCCTGGCTGCCTCCTCCCATCAGCAAAGCCATGGGGCAGCAGCTGGGAAGAGCAGCCCCACGGCTGCACCTTCTTGCACAGAACTGCAGGTCAGGCTGGGAAAGGCTGTTTGAGCCCTCATCAGCCCCCTCGGTGAAACCAGTGGTTTGCTCTGTGCAGGTGACAAAGCTTGTTGAGTTCCTCATCAACCACCATGAGGAACTCCTTGGAGAGCAGGTGGCCGGGTTGGCCAGCAAGGGGGTTGAGGAGACACCAGCACCTCAAGCAGAGCTGGAAACAGCAGAGGTAAGTGAAGTGCACGAGCAGTGTGACAACAAAAGCCTCCCCCCTCAGAAGGTGGGGCTGCTGCTGCCCCAGGGACAAGCACGGTCATCCGCCAGCCTGCAGCTCTGCCAAAGTGCAGAACAAGGCTGATGCAGGTTGGCCATCCCGCTTTGTGAGGTGATCCCACCAGAGCTGGCTCAGCTGAGCTGAGCAAACCCATCCAAGGAATGTGCCTTTTAGAGCCAGGGTAGCAATTGTGCAGGGAGGTCCTTGCTCCCTGCTAACCTACACATTGCCATTGCAGGTGCCTCCCATCGCTCCCAAGTGCGAACAGCAGAGGAGCTTATCCGGGCAGAAAAGGTAAAACTGCCTGGCTTTGCTTGGCTCAAGGTAATCATGGCTTCGCCTGTCTAACAATACTGTTGAATGGAAAGGTTCCCTGGCTCTTCGTGGAACACCAGGAAGCGAAGAGCAACCTGGGAAGAGGGCAACGACGGGCCACCGTGCCGAAAGAAGAGCAAAACTGAGCTCTCAGGGATGGCCAACTGAAGAAATTCAAGCAGGGGAAGAACGAGGCAGCCAGGTATGTAGCAGAGCCTGTGTTCCATCTATTTGCCAAGCTCTGAGTATAGGAAACATTGCTGAGGTGCACAGGATGGTCCTGCCTCAGGGGAACATGTGTGTCAGGAGAAACATGCTACCCCAGCATTACCTGCCAACCTGTGGTTTTAGTATGGCAGAGTGAGGGATGCTGCTGCCTGGATTTTGGAAAGGACCATATCCCAGCTTCCCAGGCTCCCTGCCGAGCCCTGCTGCCTGGCAAGGGGGCACTATGCATCTCTGTCAACTTGCCGTGCTCTGAGGGTATCACATGTGTTGAGAAGGGACCAAAGCAGCACTGTAGTTGCCAGTAAAGAACCAGTAAGGAGCCTCTCTCCTGTGCTAGCAATGACCCTTTTTACAGCACACTTCCAAACAACCCAGGAGCCCAGTCCCTCCTGCTCCTGCCCTCACGGCTTCATCAGCACTTTCTGACTCTGCCCTTGTAGGTGCCCATTTACTGCTTCGATTCCCCACATGAGCTCTGCTGCCTGGGCTTGGAGTTCCACCCTGCGGCCCCAGCACCACCTCGGCAGCGGCGAGGACAGAGCCACCATGTCCTTCTGCTCTGGATAGAAGGTTCCACCACCTCGCCCCGGAGCCAGAGCAGCGCCCTCAGACCCATCCCAGCCCTCGCAGGAGGCCTTGCTGGCTCGCTCCTCAGCCCCGCCAGCAAATGACAAACCGCTGGTGCATCTCCCCAAGCGGGGAGCTGGCCTCTGGACTTCCCCTTACCATGTTCACTACCGCGCTGGGTACTGCGTTTGCTAATACACTTGTTACTGTGCTCACAACTGTTTATTAGTCTATTTCTATGTCTTTTTACAAACAAATTTTAGGATATACCTTAGGATAGATATAGGATATACTTTAGGAAACACATTATAGGATATATTTAGGATGTAGTTTAGGAAGCACATTATAAGGTAGTAGTTAATTCACATTGTTCGAGTACTCACTTCGTAGGATCACAGAATAGTTAGGATTAGAATAGGATAGTTAGGGTGGGAAAGGACTTCCAGTAATTTCGTGGTATGTCACAAGACTACTCTTCGAGTGGCTTTTCATATGTATTAGTAGAAAGAAGAAAGAATTACAGAAGTTGTATCTCTCTGCCTTGCCATCTGCATCCTGCAGAATGGAAAACAGAAAAGAAAGTATACTGAGAGAGTCTTTGGATTAGGAAAGAAATGACAGATATTTATGAATGCAGAAGAACTACCGCTACACCTTGAAAAGGATTCAGATAAGCTCCGAAGAGTACTGCCTGCTGTTGGAATACAGCTGCATATCTTAGACACCTGTTAAGGTCCAGAAGTAAAGAGAAACTTGCTTCTAAAAGAAAACACAGGCAGGCAGCAGAAAAGAGCATTGAATTGCACCACTGTGTTTTCATTGACAGCTGCTCCTGGTGGGGAGAGAGATGCTGAAACAGAAACAAAAGAAACAACAACAAGGCAACAGAACTGAGGAAAAAAAAAACAAAACAAAGCAACAGAAAACCAAACAACACCCTCTATTCCTCCCCCCCCATCCCCCCACACACACACACTCCGCCACCACCACCACCCCCCAAAAAAAAAAGAAAAAACCCAAACAAACAAAGCCCTTAAATCCTATTTTGGAAAAAAAAAAAAAAAAGGAAAAATACTTTAGATCCCTCTGCACTCTGATGGGAGAAACACTGGGAAATGCTAGCAGGTGTCCCACGCATCTGCAAACAAAGCTGTCTCAAACTGGGTACCAACAGAGTGATTTGTCGGTAACAGGGGTGAGCGACTGATACGCGTTTTTCCCTTCTGCATTTGCTGGAATACACTGTGCAGACTGCCTGCAGTTCTCAGCTTTGCTTCATATGTATTATGCCTTTCTGAATTTTCTTTACCATTTCTATGCAGAAATAAAGTGTCAAATGCATACCTGGCCAGGCTCTGTGTTTGGATGAGTCCCTTCCCTTTTTATTCCTCTCTCCGTCTCTGGGTTTCCCTTCTATCTCTCTCAGATACTTACCTGTCCAAGAAGACAAAAAAGGTCACGCAATGGTCGCATTTCTATAAGACTTTTCTTTCTCCCAGGAGCTTTGTTTTTTTCTCCTAAAACACCTGAGGAGACATTTGCATCCAAGAAAAGGTCTTGACAAGGAAAGGAGTACGTTGCTGCTACTTCTAATCTAAAAAAAAAAAAACAAAACACTACTTTTGCCCAGAAGGCCACTGATCAGTATTTTTGTGACCTTGCTACGGTTTCATTCCATCCTTCTTCACATTCAGCACCAAAGCCCCAACTCTCTTGGCCATGTTGCCATACCACAGACTCTCTTAGGAAGAGAATAATTTAAAGAGCATAGGGAACTTCCGTTTATGGAAAGGAGATTATATCTTGTCACCTGGAAAAGTTAGAAAGAACTGGTAAGTGCAAGGGGACAGCCACTTCAAGTATACCTCATCTAAAAAGTAGCTGATGAAGTGTCTGAAGAGACTGACTATTAAAATAGCAGGCATCACTCTGATAACTGTGCATGTATCAACTGTCTCTATGTGTATGTTAAACAGATTGGTGTTAGGACCGGTCTTGTTCAACATCTTTGTCGGTGACATGGACAGTGGGATTGAGTGCGCCCTCAGCAAGTTTGCCGATGACACCAAGCTGTGGGGTTCGGTTGATAGGCTGGAGGGAAGGAATGCCATCCAGAGGGACCTCGACACGCTTGTGAGGTGGGCTGATGCCAACCTCATGAAGTTTAACCATGCCAAGTGCAAGGTCCTACACCTGGGTCGGAGCAATCCCAGGCACAGCTACAGGCTGGGCAGAGAAAAGATTCACAGCAGTCCTGCGGAGAAGGACTTGGGGGTGTCGGTCAATGAGAAAATGAACATGAGCTGGCTTCAGTGTGCGCTCGCAGCCCAGAAAGCCAACTGTATCCTGGGCTGCATCAAGAGGAGCGTGACCAGCAGGTCGAAGGAGGTGATCCTGCCCCTCTACACTCTGCTCTCGTGAGACCTTACCTGGAGTATTGTGTGCAATTCTGGTGTCCTCAGCATACAAAGGACATGGAACTGTTGGAACAAGTCCAGAGAAGGGCCACGAGGATGATCAGGGGACTGGAGCACCTCCCGTATGAAGACAGGCTGAGAAAGTTGGGGCTGTTCAGCCTGGAGAAGAGAAGGCTGCCTGGAGACCTCATAGCAGCCTTCCAGTGTCTGAACGGGGCCTATAGGGATGTTGGGGAGGGACTCTTCATTAGGGACTGTAGTGACAGAACAAGGGGTAACGAGTTCAAACTTAAACAGGGGAAGTTTAGATTGGATATAAGGAGGAAGTTCTTTACTGTAAGGGTGGTGAGGCACTGGAATGGGTTGCCCAGGGAAGCTGTGAATGTTTCATCCCTGGTGGTGTTCAAGGCCAGGTTGGACAGAGCCTTGGGTGGCATGGTTTGGTGTGAAGTGTCCCTGCCCATAGCAGAGGGGTTGGAACTAGATGATCTTAAGGTCCTTTCCAACCATAACTAACTATTCTATGATTCTATTTCTCTATGATTTATCTGCACTTTGGGTGCTGTTCATTTTCTGTACTTGCAGAATTGTACGAATAAGTGAGGTAACAACAAATGGCTTTGATTGACGGCCTGAACTTATAGAGTCACAGCACCAAATTACTGTTAAAAGTGCAATCTTCTCCTGAATCAGTTTGAATATTGTTGTTATTCTTTTAATCTAAAAGACATACATTTGGCTAAGAAATGCAGCAACCAACCTGTGAAACAATATCACAGGAAGCTACTGTGCTATTGCATGAAAGTACTGAGGATATCAGTTCCTCAGGCTACTGGGAACAGAGTGAATCACCACTTAAGATCCATAAAGATCCATAGGGACCCATAATCTTCCACATAACATGGCATACACAAAATTTTCCACTCGGCTACAGTTCTCCACAGGTAGTCTTCCAATTTTATCCTTCCAAGACAAGCTGAAAACTATTAATTCAGTATAATGTGTGCAAAGCTCTTCACCTCCTGGTTTAACATTTCTGTCAAACAACAAGCTTTGTGTTTCTTTCCATATTTTTTCCCATAGTCATCCACTTCTAGGTTTCGTCTATGCCATTTCTGAAGCTTAATTTTCCACACAGCTTTCTTTTACATTTGGGTAGACAGGTTGGAGTTCCAGATCTAAAAACGTCAGGTCTCCCTCCATATTCAGGAAAATCTGCCTCTTAAATCCTGGCAAATTTCTTAGCAATCCTTCAATTTCTAACTTGCAGTCTTCAATTCCCATTGGACTATAGCCCCCTAAATACTTCCCTTTTAATCTGATAGTTGGCATAGGGAAGACATGACACAGTCTTTAAAAGCACAAACCAATATTAAAGTGCAGAAACTTCAAGGAAGTTGCCAACAGTCAAGCACAGAGTTAACAAACAACACTTTTCTGCTCTAAAGTTGCTCCTTAGCAGAGAACCAGAGATGTTTACAAATACTATTTGCTCCATCTATTCTGCAAAAATGCTGCTGGGAGACTATTTAGGCAGTCGTTTCTATACATATGCCTCTTGTGTTTAAATGACAATATTAACCTGTATGTAAGACCGCCATAGTGGGTAAAACCAAACGTCAGTCTAACCAACTCCCTCTCTCTAATAGCAGCTGCAGGAGATGCTGAAGAAAACAGCATTAAGAAAGTGGGGGAACTATGCAACTCACTCATCCAGTTTTCAGCAATCTGTATTTTAAAGACTTCTGAAGCTGAAGAATCTGTACGCATCCATGTGTTTATTAGCCCTTGATTTACCCTGCCTGCCTAATCCATTCAGTGGACATTTAGATGTTTGTTTGTCATTTGCAAAGAGATACACAGAATAATTAGGTAGAGTATGAAAATTAGTTCCATTACTTTATTTTAGAGATGCTTTTCATTTCACTGACTACCCCATAGTCTAGTGTTCTACAAGACATTTATGATTTAAATGTCTTTGAATATTTTTATACATATATATATATCTAAATCATTCTCCTCAGTAACCTCTTTTGTAAACTAGAGAGCCCTAGTCTACTTAATCTCTCCTTGTACAGTCAGATTCCTACTCAGGGTGCAAGTGCACAATATATTTATAAAACATTTTCCATTTTGCTCTCACCTCCTCTCCCAGTAATTTTTAACATTGTTCTGCCTGGTACTAAGCACAGCCCCACCATTTTCAGCCTCCTACCACAATGATTTCCAGATCTCTTTTCTGAGTGCTAATGGATAATTTACAGCCCATCACTGCGTTAGCAGCAAGTTTCATCCCCTGTGCACTTTTAGTAATAGGTGAAATTGTGTGTTGAAACAAGAATACAAACAGAAAAGATGATTATATTTGAAAATCTGTTAATCAGTAGAGGGGTTTTATGTATTAGGAAAGTTTAAGAACAAGTTGAAACTCTTTTATTGTGTATCTTAGTTATTTTATAACTAAGCATTACAATGGTAGCTATAACGATAAGCAATTAACATAGCCATATATGGGAAAGCATATATGGGTGGATTTAGGGGAGTATTGTGAAACTCTACCGAAGCAGAACTCACGAAATTACCAGGAGTAGGCAAGTGAAAATAAGAGAATGCTGGCATCCACATAATGGTTGGGACATGTCCAAGGAACAAAAAGTGAACAGGACAAGCTGAGGAAGACTTCTTACTTCATCCGAGGAAGACTCCTTACTTCATCAGGACGACCACCAGAGGGGGGGCTGCGCAAGCGC